TATTTCATGCTTATGGTACAAGCTGCAGGTGCACAGTTTAAAAACAAAAACCAAACCAAACAAACCCACCAGACTGTAGCTAAAGCAAGTCACATCAAGCAGTCATTCTATTCGACTAAAAGAGTTTTTTGCCTCTTTTTTTTTTTTAAAGGTGCAGAAGACGACAACTAATTTCTTAGTGTTTCTGTCACCCTATTTATTTTACTGCGGGATTTAACAGATTGCTTTAAAGAAATAGAAGCCACTAACCTGAAATGTATTATAGAACTGATTTTTTTCTTTCCCCATTTTATGGCATGAGCACCCTTAGGAAAACAATAATAAAAACCAAAGGCACAACTACTGATAACAGTCTGCAGGTACAGCAGACTATTTTGCCCCAGTAGTTTGAAATCATCCATGAAGTTGGAAAAAAAAAAAAAAAAACAAACCACCACCAAAAAACCCAGTTAAATCTCATGAAAAATACTCAGGAAAGAAACTAAGCTGAACTGAGGACCAGAATCATAAACATGTATTTAATAAAGGACAACAAACACTAAACTTATGAAACAGGCAGACACAAACACACTACAAATGAGATGTAAAACCAAACACGGGAAGTATTTTAAAAGGTGCAAAAATTTTAAGGAAAAAAATGACCCAGTGAGAACAATGAACAAAACCAGGAAAAAAAACCCAGACAGATAGAAAGATGATAAAGACTTTAAGAGTTTATTGGAAGAAAAAAGCAGATATAATGGGATGGTGACAGAAATCTATTACAGTAGTAGCAACCAGTAACTGAAACAAAGGTGGATCATCCCTTCCCTCATGTAGTACAAGAATTTTTACGACCATTAAAAAGCAGTCATGAAAACAAGCTACTAAAATCTGCTAAACAGTATGGACTTGTGTGCTATGGCTATAGTTTCATTTGAATAGGTAGATACAGCACATCACTTTCTGCAGGACACAAGAAGGGTTATTTTTGCTTCTGAATACGTATCATGCTAAATGCTCCTTATAGATGAAATAAATTTGTTCTAAAAAGACAAAGAAGGGAACTTTTGCAATTAAAACACACATAGACAATGTAACATAACACCAGAGTTCTGTTAAAGGAAAAGAAACTAAAGCTAAATTATGTAACTAGTGCATCTGTGAAGTACTACAGGAAAACAGCTTCATTTTGTTTAAAACCTGAAGGAATTTACTCAACTTTAACTTCCAGCAACAACCTGAAAGGACTGAAGAAAGCCAGGCAGACTATACCATACATGCTCTGTCAGCTTTCTTAGACAGACTGCAGAAATGCACTAACTCTGAAATAAAGCTCTAGCCCTGACTACCATCTACCTATATCTTGCCTTCTTCTGAGTCAATATATGGAGGAAATTTGACTTAAAAAAACCCACCTCATTTCACACATGAAACCAAAGCCACAAAGACTTATGTGTGGCTACTCAAACAGCCAATTAAAGTCCAGAGGTCATTTTTAATCACAAAAATAGTCTATTAGACCAACTGGACTATTTGAAGTAGGTAAAGGTCTTTCCAGACACTGATTTGCAGAACTGAGGTTTGATGAACTAATTCTCTTGTTGCTTACATTTCAGATACTCAACCACCTTCCTTTTCTAGAGTATGAAATGGCAACATTGGGATTTAGGTTAGATGTAAGGCCTCACTGCTGCTGCACGTGTGGCCTGTAACATTTATTTTACTGCCGTGGCTGGAATTGCTTCCTAACTCTTTTAAGGCTTGAGGAAAAATGTAGTAGTTAGAAGATTTCAAACCAACAGCTTGGATTACTGTCTCTAAAGTAAAAAGAATATGTATTGCAAAGATTTCCTGCTTTCTGGTGATGGATAAGAGACCACAAAGAGTCACTAAGAAGAACAGATAAAGGCCGAGGCCCTTTGTTATCACCTTCTAGTGGTTTCACAATCTGAAGCTTTTCTGGCAGGTAGGAGCGACTGCTGATGGACATTCCTGAATATCCAGTGAATTCTGAAAATCTGGAGTGAGTTCCCAGAGACATGATGCTCTCTGTGGGGGTAACAGAACCGCTATGGAGCTCGCCCTTTTCTGCCAGTTCCCGCAACTTCCTTTCCTGCTCTTCTTCGAAGAACTTCCGCTCTGAGAGATAATTCTCCCGCCTGAGGGACAGCCTACGAAGGGCAGTCTCTAGGTCACTGGAGCCTGGAGTCCCCGGAGTTCCAGGCTTCTTCATCCTGTCTTCATTTCTAAAACATAACAGGGAACACACACACACACCAAAAAAAAAAAAAAAAAAAAAAAAAAAAAAAGAAAGAGAGAGAAAAAAAAGAGGAGAGGGAGGAAAAAAATTCTTAGAGATGCTTAAAACCTCCACATGACAGTTTTGAGACATTCACCAATACCTTTAAATTACTATGTCTGGGAGCAACTTGCTACTCCCCTGGAGACTTCAAAGGCAAACACCAGTATTTTCTTTCTCTTTCATGCTAAAACTGTTTTGAATCCTAGCTCCTGTCTGCAAACTCCTGGTTGGAAAAGCTGTGCTTTACTTAAGAGCTTCCTCCTACAAGGAGATGAGAGGTGCCTACTTGTTTTGGGTCTCTTATGGTTATACAAACCCAAGTAAGCAGGCCACATCTTACAGGGCCAACGCTGCAAGAATGTCATAATGAGTCACAAGAGTACATTCTGCTGACAAATATTAATTGTTTTGAGATATTAAGTCATTTTTACTGGAAAGTGTAGACAGCATAGTGTGGAGCTGTACTGGGGGAAGAGACAAGTAGATAGAAGAGCAAAGTTCTGACTGGTTTCATTCACAAGTTTTCATATTACGTAACCTATACACACACACTTGATTTATTTATTTTCAGGCTCAAAAGAGTTAGCTGTAGCTGCAACTTAGATCAGAACTCCCTGACTTTCATGTAAAATGGTGAAAATATAATTAGTTTTAAGTATTGAACCACAGTTGCAAAGACAAAATGTGGGTTTACACCATCTGGTGCTGCTGCATCTCAGAATAGGTGCGAGTTGCAGACATTGATACACAGTACTTTCAAAAAGCTTTCCTTTTTAAGCAAACTTGAGTGCTCAAGAACTATAAGCACAAAATAAAGTAACTTTTGAAGATGTACATCAATCACTGTGTTAACTGCACAGTGTAAGACAAAAAGAGGAAAATCGAAACACTTTGCCTTTACATCAGAAACAAAGCAAAAGCAAAGCCCAGTGCTACAGTACTGACCCATTGTCAGAGGATTCTGTCTCTAGGATGATGCTATTGGTCTTGTTGTCTATCATAATGTTAGAGATGTCTCCCCCATAGAAACTGGAACGTGGAGTGCTGACACAGCTAGAAATGACTGAGTTCATAGCAGAGGACTGGTTGGAGCCTGGGATATTCATTGGTGATGGAGTCATGGATCTCTGCTTGACAACTTGGTTAACACTTCTCACCGTCTCGAAGACCCGCTTCTGATGACTGGTAAGACATACACACAGTTAATAATCACACAGTGCCTTCTTACCTTAAGAAGGAACAAAGAAGTTAACAACCCTTCCTATTTGCAGCTCCACCAACCACCTTGTCTTTATAGTTTCTGTAAAGTAGTATGCATAGGGTCCCACACTCTCTACAATCTGGCCATTACGTTCAATCCATCAACATAATAATTCCATCATCCTAGAATATTTTAGACAGAACACTTGAGAATTATGTGCATGGACCCTCTCAAATATTAATAAAACTAAGTGAAAGAGCATTTCAGTACATCAGTTAAAAGCGCCTTAAAGCCATTGTGTGGAAATGAGTTTTAAAAAAAAAGAAAAAAAATCTCCATTCAATTCTTAACTATGAACTGGCTAATCCACTTTAAAAGAGAATTTGAATTTACTCTACTGAGTACCTCTACGCAAGCAAGTCTTGTGTCTTTTCTTTGTGAAACCCATTTCCAACCCCCTTAAATAGCATTTAAAAAAAACCCCCAAAACCCCCCAAAACCAGAAAAAAACCCAGAAATGTAATGGATCAAGAGTCTAGAGAGAGGCTGTCAAGGCTGGAAACCTAATTTTTGACCTAATTCTACAGTTCATTCTTTATCACCATTGTCCTGGTATCATAACAAACATCATTCATCTGCTTCAAGATTAAGATCAGATGACACTTCAGCAGAAATTTCTTGACAAAATAAACTTGCCCTACATCACGCTACAGAAGTGCCACCGCTGTTTTCTTTTACAGTTAACAGTGGCTGAACACAATAACAGTGCATCCTTTCCAGCTTAAAGGTAACACTTGCCAGGGTATAACAATGACAGCATGCCTTATGCTGTTTAATGTCATTCAAATTTCTTTCCTTCTGCCCATGAGTGCTCAACAGTTGCAATCTTTGTGTGTAGGCTCCAAGTCTATAGTTGTATATCTTTAAGAGGCTGAATCTAAGAGCATCTATCAATAAACGGTCCCACAGAGGTTGCAGTTACTACTGATGAGCACATAAATAAAACCAAGACAAGCCACAAAACCAAACAAACAAACAAGTATCCTTCTTTGGTACATGCATATATAAAAGACATTCTAAAGAAGTTAAACTATCCTTAAGTTAGATTACTCTGGAAGGACAAAAGGATCCTATGGGGTTTGAGCATGCTTACATCTTTCTGATCTTACATTTTTCTAATCAACATTTCACTCTGTCAAAGCCTCATTTACAATTCTTGGCTCATGCTCAGAGAAAGTTTAAGTATGTGTCAAGCTTTTTGTAAATACACTTAGAAGGTTTCTGGAAAGTGGCTACTGTACCTTCTCTGACTGTCCTTTCTTTGTAAACTCTGTTTCTCTAACAGACCCTCTAAATAGGATTAGCTTGTTTCAAATTAACCAGTCCATGTTTTGTACAAATAGATGAGATAAACCCATTGGAGTACACGTGCAACTGGTGTCAGTAAGGCCATTTCTGCCAAGCTGGTCTATCTATAGCTTTTGGACTGTCACAAGTACTTAATTTGTTTCAAACCGCTTTCTTGTTTAACTTGAGAACTTTAGCACAGGTGTAATGGACATCACACTATAAGTACCCAACCACTCCGAATCCCTTTCTGCACTGATGTTTTCTCTGTAAAAACTGGATTAGATCAATAATTACCTCATAACTTCTGTTATAATACCTGAAGAGAGAACCCAAAAAACTGAACTCATCCCCTAATAATTCACTGAAGAAACCTAGCATGGTAACACACAAGAAAACAAATCTTTTCTCATTCTCAGCACTCAAGAATGAGGACAACAAGTTCACAAGACAAGGCAAAACCTACATATAGGAGTTTTCTTTTGGTAGCTTTAGAAGAAAAAATAACCACCCCAACAACCAGACAATTTATTTTCCTTTTTCTCTATCATTCACACTCTGCCAGAAATACTTCTTTCTAAATCCCTAGCTCAACTATTTCCTGTCTTTTCCTTTCTCATCAAATAATAATTAACTTCAGATGTAATCAATTCTTTTCAGTCATACGCCAAGTCAGGAGAGTCAGGTTCATCTAAGTGCAGTTCTTTCCTCATTGACCCTTCTATCTCTGCTGCCAAAGAATCCTGTTAAAAAGAAGCACAAAAGAAAAACAAATATCATAGTATTAATAGGTGTCATTGCAGAAAATAATTAATTACTTATATAAAATAATTAATAACTAATAAGGTGTCATTCCAGAAAAAGAAAGGTTTAAAAATGAAAATTGACTGGAAAGCTTTAAGACTAATGAATATATCTAAATCATTAGACAAATTATGGCTTAGCTTCATACTGCTACAGCACTTACCATCTGAAGACATACAACACCTGTCAAAGATCCTAAAAAACCATCACAGGCAACAACAGAATTCAGGTGCTCCGACTTCCCAGACTAAATTCCCTACTCAGCAGCACCCACCTTTCTTGTGTAAAGTTTTGCTTAACCTGTTTTCATTTAAAATAAACAGAAAACTCTCTTCCCTTTCACATTACCCACCCACAAAAAAGACAGTTCTTGGCATAAAGCATTATATACTTCCCCCATAGGTTAAAGGTGACAGGCTATCAATTTTCCACTGCTGGTCAGTAAGTTTTACTGCCTAAATATAGTTAAGTGCAGGGTCTAAGCATCAAACATTCACAAATCTAAATGATCTTTGGTCCCATGATTCAACATTTGAAAATAATTTTTATACAAAACACATAAACCTATCTCAGCACAAGCACACTTTTCACAGCTTTCAACTGTATTTGTGCAAGTACAACTTGTATTACTAAATATCTGCACTTTAAACTGGCCTCTGTTCAGTCTCAGAAGGGAACACAAAAAGGCAAGCTAAGCCTAACTTACTTCCTGTGCGCACAAATATAATCTGTGTTCTTCCTCAGCAGTTAAGACGAGACATGGCTAAAGACAAGGAGGGCCAGATTCTGCTGCTTGATTACATTAACATAACTCAAAAGAAACTTCACTGATATCATTGCCCTCAGAAATAATGTAATTATTCTAGAGATACACAGGCAAGCAGAGCCAGGCACTGAACTTTCCTAGACACTATTATCCACTCTTTTTTTCCTCATTTGGTTGAGGGTACTGCACATTCCCCATGCTTTAAATGTACAATGTCATAATCAAATGAAACTAGGTAAACAAAGTTGATAACACCAGTGACACTGCCATAATTGATGTTGCTATAATACACATTAGCAACAAATATTCTTGTAATGAACCACTGAAAATTCAGTGACCCTAAAACAAGAATACATGTGTAACCTATTCAAGTACTGAAGAACTAGAATGTATATCATACATGACTAGAAGGATGCCATGTCCAGAAACCATGTTAAGTTACATCTCCAAAGATACTGAAGAAAAACATTCCTGAAAAAAACAGGAAGTTCCTACCAAAAATCAGCCACCACAGTACAAGAGATGCGTAACGAAGACGTATAGAACTGTGCAACAACCTATTAATGATACCCTTGATTCACAGCATAAGCACAGCCAGCTGCAGGTTGTATATAACACTGCAGCAAAACCAAGTAACTGCACAGCACCGCTGTTTCGGAACCAGGGATACAAAATTGATCACTCAGGTATCCTTTAACACTATATGAATACACATTTCACCCATGCTCATGTCTGGCCTAGCATCCCATCCCTGAAGCTGTAAGTCAGGTGCAAACACTCACATTTCCTTTGGTTGGTTGTTTTCTGGTATGTGCAGTTTTTTTCTTAAATCTGCTTACCATAGGGAAGAGACCGAGAGAGTGGTACCGACGTGATATGGCATTTGGCATAGTCTTGTTTCTAAGGTTTTTCAGCTCTTCTTGAGCCTCATGAAGCATTTCCATGCACTCTGCATACTTGTCTTCCAGCTCCCGCAACTGTAACATACAGAAAACAATCCAAGACCTTATGGGCTGCACTATCATCACAAAAAGCCTGCAAATTCTTTTCACACTGGTAAAGGATAATGGTGT